AAAAAAAAAAAAAAAAAAATTAGGGCCTGCCTGGGTGGCTCAGTCGGTTGAGTATCCGACGTTTGATTTCAGCCCAGGTCATGATCCCAGTGTTGTGGGATCAAGCCCTGAGTCAAGCTCCACACAGAGCAAGGATCCTGCTTGGGATTCTCTCTCTCCACCTGCCCCTTCCCTGCTTGTGCCTGTGTGCATGCATACACGCACTCTTTCTCTCTCCAAAAAAATAAAATAAAATAAATTTTAAAGGCTAACTCTCTCAAATATAAAAGATAGTGAATAAGTTAATAACACTCTGGGAATGTGTGTGTATGTGTGTGTGTGTGTGTGTGTGTGTGTAAAATCTCGGTTCATCACACCTTGCCATGCTGCTACAACGTCCCCCCAGGGTGCTCCTGGCCCACCTGGCCTGTTCAGGTCTATTTCTTGCTGACCCCATTCCCCCTCCTTTTCTCTCGGTCTTCAGGATTCTCTTTCCTACTACGTTTCTTCTTTTCCGTACTCTTCTTGAGTGAAATTTTCAAGATACACATTTCCAAAACTATGCCTAGGTTTCTAAAAACAGCCAACCCCTTTTATTTTATTTGTTGCATCCTATTGACATTGCTATTAAAAACCTCAAATTCGAAACATCTGCCCTGAATAGCTTTCCTTCCAGGCTGCCCCTCGATTCCCCAGGGTTTCCTCTCGTGGTCGGCACTAGAACTGTCCGTGCATCAGTGGGGGGAGAGACCTCTGTCACTTCAAGCGATGGCGCCTCTCCTGCTTTGGACATCTTGTCAGTCAGCATCCCGCTGTCCCCTAGAGAACACCACCTGTGTGTGCCTCTGCTATCATCCGAATGCGGTCTTTGCTTGAGCGTTTCCATAGCCCCCTTCCTTTCCCCCAAAATCTGTCGCGTATCGTGTCCTCTGTTGTCCTTTCTTCATCCCCCACACTGTCTGAAAGTATCTGGGGACTTAACACTGCCAAGAGGACAGAGTCCTGAGAAGTACATGCATGTTTTTTCATGATTTGGCTAAAAGCGGCCAATCTCTACAGACTTAACTGCACTTCTTATACCATTTCCCAAATGCAGCGTGTGTGGACATGGCAGAATGGCCCCCGGCACTCTCGGGAATAGCTTCCTTCTTGTACTGCACACATTGGAAGGCGGGAAAATTCCCAGACTTCTTTGCAGCTAGTGTCTGATTGCTCGTTAGCCTCCCCCGGCCTGGCACAGCACGGTTCCAACAGACTCAGAAAGTAGACGTGCTGGGGCTCATGCTTCCTCTCTGTTGTGCCCGATGAGCATATCACGGAGCGTGGAGATCTCCAGGCCCGGTCCCTGGGTCACCGGATTCTTCCACGTTCAAGTGCCAGAGGACGGGCACTTGACTGGTGTCGGCGGTAGCAGGACACTGAGAGTCAGTTCCCATAGCAGCAGGTTCTCAGTTTGGCTGGAAGCTTCCTGATCGAAGACGAGGTCACGGCCATGCTGGAAGGCCTGTCCTGTGCCGGGGTTTTGAGTCATTCCTCAAGGTCCCACTGAGAGTCTCATGACAACTGTTTTCATACACCACATGATTTTCCACTTGAGTGCTACAGTGGGTTCTGCCTCTCTGCCACCGAATCCTGGGGGGATGCACCTGTCATCCTCCTTCGAAAGTCTGTGTCTCCACTGCACTCCTCCTTCCTGTTATCCTTACTGAACTGTAACTCATCCCCGAAGGCCTGGGTCACATTTTCCCTCCTCCGGGAAATATTTCTGCACTTTCTTTGGGAGCCAAATGATTACTTCCTCCTCCAGGGTAATGCAGAACGTTGTTACTGTTACCAGGGTTGTTATAAGCAAATTCTATCATAATTATTTGTTACTTTGCATTCTCCTTATTTATGGAGAGTAAGATGTTTGGGGGCAAGGAATATGGTTTATTCGTCTTTGGTTCTCTAATACTCTGGGTTTGGCACATAGTAGCATCTCAGTGAAAACACTGGCTGAAATGATCCGAAATACACTGTGGTTACTGAAATAGTAACCACAGATGGGGGCTGGATCAGAGGTAAGGGGAAGTAGATTTAAGTTTCAAAAGGTGGCTACAATGTGACCTTGTGAAGAAGACAAGGAGGATAGTTCAAGCTTGTGCAGAAGGAGTGTGAGCCGGGAGGCACATGGAGGAAACAGTGAGTGGATTGGAGAAAGTCAACTGAACAGAGGTTTTGCACAGGGGGGTTGTGACGGATAAGCCATGGCTCAAATGACTGGCATCAGCTCAGAGAAGCCTGGGATATTAGCCCAGCCTAAGGGGGGAGGTTTTTCTAGACAGGTAGGAGGAGGTCCTTGAAGGTGTTTAAGAGAGAAGAGCGTGAGGGCATCTTTCTTTACTCAGGGTGATGCGTGCTTTAAGAAAAATAATACAATGCTAAAACCTGTATTGAAGATAAGTCAACTCAGAAAACCAATATTTGTTTGGATAATGAAAGGATCCCACAGTTCAGAGCAGACCTCTCTGTATTGAATCCAAGGCCCTTGTGCTCACATTATGTTACAATCTGGGGAACATTACGGAAGGATCTGACTGCCTGCTTTATCACCCACATTCTGAAGACGCAACGTCCTCATCAGGTTAAAATAAAATAGCTTAGAAGAGTAAAACCGTGTGGGTTGTTCACCCAACTTTCATTCCTTGAAATAATAAACTCTAAAATATCTAAAACTTTAAAGCTTGTCCTCAAGACGTTTGGTCCATCACCGCATGTGATAACATCGTGCCTCCACTCGACTTACCCTTCCCGCATAGTGCGTGACTCTGAACGCTGCACCCTGATCTTTGAGCGCAACGTTACCGTTCCCATCCTTCATGGGGGAATAGACTGCATTTGTGTTTGAAGATTCTAGGAGACTTTGTAGCTTCTTGGGAAGATTTGGTTCCATCGACCACATCATTTGACTTTCTTCATCCAATAAAGAGAGAAATCCAGATGGCTTCTGGAAATCAAGAAGAGATAGTTATGTTTTGTCTTTTACTCAATTTTATGATTTTGTTATTGTTCATGTACGCTCGTTTGGATTTTCATTACGTTCATATAAACTTTTAATACACACTTGTGTTTGCTCACTATTGTAACCCTGACGCCTAACAAAACTTTTGATGTAATGTAGACCCTAAACAGTATTGATTGATTAATAATTGATTGATACTGAATAAATAAATTAAAAAGTGTGTTATAATGTCCTTAAAACACTGAAGTTATTAAAAAGTATTTCTCATCTCAATAAGAAACATAAAATTACTAACTAAAGGAGAGGTATTTTTTCTTGACCTATACCCCATATCCACCACTTTATATTTATGGTGGGGTCAGGTAACTTATCCAGAAACAGAACCTACAATCATGTTGAGTCATAAAAATTGTAGAAAACTCCTATTCAGCAGGAACTAGAAGTGACTATAATATCAAGACCTAGAAAAAGTAAATATGGAAGCTGTACCTCGTAAAATTCAAATTAGAAGTCTGATAGCTCCTAGCTGTCAAACAAGGAAGCTAAAGTCATGCCCAAGCAACCACTTAAAATTAATCGCACGTGAAGGAAAAGGCTGCTTGAAAGAACTTCTTAAGCCCTAACAGTTTGTTCCCTGCACAACAGAACACCGTTGTGCCCACATGGTTTACACATCAGGTGAAGAACTTTTACCCTGGGCCGTGCTGTTTATCTTTTCTTTCCTAGGAGAGTTTTCTGTTCACGTGTCAAATCGACCTTTAAAAACAAGGCAATTTATGTTGTTTATTTACCTTATTCTGTCATATATTTTAATTCTTCACATCAACTCAGTGTGCTCTTGGAAACGTGAATACCATAAAAATAATTCTTCCCAGGAAGTGAAGGGATCAATACTGACCCCTCTAGCGATTCAGTTTGCGTTTTTACCTGAGGTCACCAAACCGTAGCATCACAGGCCTTTCGTGATGCTATTGATTTGGCCAACAGAAAGCCATTTCTTTGTAGCTGGAATAGTTTAGTTGTCCTAAGCCTCTTGGAGTTGCCTGTTCATGGTAAAGGAAATGTAAAAACTATATATAGATATCTGAGGGCTGCAAAAGTTGAGATCCTTCCAAGGCCACCTAGAGAAGAAAGTTTGGAAGTGGCAGCCATAAGGAGGCTTGGTGGGGGCTCACACACCAGGGGGAACCTTCGGGAACCCTTTGGCAACTAAAGCACCATCTCTGGAACAAGCAGATAGATAGCTTCCCTGGGAAAGGAGGAGAGGAAGAACTGACTGAGAAAGAGGCCTGGGAAGGAACTAGGAAGGCGAACTCCCTGGGTCACTAACACCTTGAGAGACTTTTGTTACCAACAGAAAAATGTATTTGATGAGGAGATTTGGAGAAGGAAGTCCACTGTGTGGTACATGACAAGATTCTCAGAGAGCCAGTGGCCCCAGCAAGAGCCCCGAGATGACAAAAATACACAGGTACACAAAGTGGATGGATAGACACCCTAAAAGAAAAGTCAACGTGGAGTTGGCAGAGGACTGGTCCTGCCCGGGATGTACTAAGAAGATCAGAGATTCTCCATTTCAATTTATTTGCTGAAGAGTAAGATGTTGATATGTAAGATCAGAAGCTGCTTCTTTACCTATGCTTCTGAGCATCACGCCATGATTCCCCTCCACGTGCTGTTACACATCCCTCCTTGTTCCCCACCCCCAACCCCCGCCACGGGTGTTTCAGCAACTCAGAGTCAAGGCCCCAAGGGAAGTGATCAATTCCCAAAGAGCCAGACCACTCTATTTCAAAAGCAAGATGATATTTTCCAAGGATAAGATGATTGGATACCAAGACAATTTGTATTGTCGCCAGAAATTTTAAACTGTGTATGTGTTATGTTTCCTGAACGTTTAATATAAAACCATGAAAGAATGTTGGTAAACAAACTTGCAGACTTGGAAACTTGCTTGAGTGTCTAAAGAAGAAAATAGAACATGGAGAAAAAGTCCTAAAAACGACCCTCAATTCCTTCAGCAGTGAGGGTTCAGGAGAGACTGAACTGTTCTCCTGAAGGATATGCCATTTTGCCTCATCAACAGAAGGTGTCGAGCACGGACAGTGTGGTAAAATGCACCTGACTTGTGGAGAGTTGGGTAAGAATCTGGATCTACCCCCACGCTTCCTGGATACAAGACAAATACATGTTTGTTGAAGTATGAATATGGTCTGTGCAAATATTTCAGATATTTGTGAGCAGTAGAGGATTATGGGAACTAAGAAGGAAACAATAAGCTTCCTTGATATTATTGTAGGGTTTGCTTGTCTGCCACACAGACCTGCGTGTTTGGGTGCCACACAGACACCCAAGTTTCACCCTATACTTGCTATGTCTTTTCATTTTTATGGGCATCAAAGAGAAGTAGCAGTCAGAAATGTCCCTTCTCATTTCCCCCTCATACTGATGAGGGTTCTCCTATTATAATCACTCCAAGGTGAAATCTCAAGGATGGTCGTCAAAGAGACAGAATTAACGTCATTCTGCTGACCACTGGTTAGCAGTCAAGGATACAGAAGCGAGAAGGAGGGTGGCGGGTACCTGCAGCTTCCCATACATGGTTCACTACATGTTACTGTCACTTTGAGGACATTCTTTAACCTTACATACAGAAGTTATGTACTTTATGTGTCATGATGAGGGAGGGCTTTCTGGAAGAAGAGGGCTTCTTCTATAATTAAAAAAAAATGTTGACAGGTTGGTAATAGAAACGAGAATATTTTACATATCAGGCAGATGTATAAATTTGTAAGTCTCCGTTTATACAAATAAAGAGTAGAAAATCACATTCTGTGCTCTCCGATAGCTGAATGGTGTCAGTTTTCAACAAAGTTTGAGTGTCTTAGAGATATTATTTATAGATGTATATAATATCTTCTTATATTAGTAGTAGGTAGGATATGGTAGATTTTTGTTAGGCAAAGATCCACACCTGCGTAGATCCTGAGGTTATGTGGATATATATTTTTTCTTCCAATGTTTTTCCATATTTTAATTTAGAATCTTTGAAGATAAGCTGAAAAGATTCTATTGAATTTGTTTCATGATCTCGTTAGTCTTAGTATTGTTTTATAAAATACTAATTTTGCACATTGGGCATTTGTAACTGTGCCACAGGAGAGTTTTGGTGACATAACCAAGGCTGAATATCTTCATAACAATACAATCTGGTATTTCCAGTCCTTTCAATGAATTGAGAATCCTTCAAATGCCTCTTCAGAAAAAGCTAACTTGTGCTCCTCATTTGACTGAAAAATCATAAATACAATGAAGCCTCATATACAAAGAGATCTCAAAAATAAGGCCCACTGAAAGAAAATTCTTTGTCTCTAGCATATTTGAATCCTGTAAAGTATCTAATTATATTATGTGAATACCTGGAAAAAAAAATCCAAAACTCCAGTCTGGTTACCAGGAGAATAAGCTGTTTCCATGGCAACTCCCTCTTGTACACATTCTGTTTGCTCCTGTAGAAAAAGCACTTCATTGATATAGTGGTGCATCTTCTCATTGGTCATGTTGACACAAAGCTATTGTGGGGAAGAAGAAAACAATTCACAAGATAAGTATGGCCATGCAGATCCACTCCTTCTGTGACCATTTCATATCGGTGGCATATTGACTCACGAACGTTCCACACCAGTCTATTGCAATAAAGCATTAGGGTACGGCTTGAGAAGCCAAAGCAGAAAGTTTCACTTCATATTGTTGACTTCATACGGTCTGATCATTCCATTTTGAATACATTAAAAACCACAAGAAGTGTAATGTACAACACTAACTAACAAGTTGGGGGGCTATATTTGAGTATTTAAAAAAAAATCCAATTGCCTCTAGTCAACAACTGAGGATAAAAGTTGGATTTACCATGAAAGCCCAGAGAGGGGAACAACATCTCTTGCCTCCTCACTTCTGTTCCGTACCCACGATGGGCAAGAGAACGTGAGTCTCCTTCAGAAAGAAGAACTTCTCTACGCATTGTTGCCGAAACTATTTTCTTTATCAGAAAGTTTTTTATACTCCTCCAACTGTCAATTCTTCTGTCCACCGAGAAACAAATATGTTACTTCTTAATCTGAAAAATTATCTTAAGTACTAAAAAGACACAAAATACCCCAAATCTTACAAAAATGAAAGCCTACTTCCTCTCTAGGCTATCCTGTCATTTCTCTGCTTTCTTTTATAACAAGAAAACCTCCAAAGAGTTGTCTTTCCTTATTATCTCAAATTCTTCTCCAGCACCCCCTCCCCACTGTTGAAGCTACTCCGATAAACTTTTGCCCCCAGCGTTCCACCAGAATACTACCAGAACCACGTGAGCATTCCAAAATCCAATGTTCAATTCTTGGTGTTCATTTTCCTTGACCTCCCAGTGATATCTCACAGGGATTCCTCTGCCTCTGCTCTCTTCCAGGACACTACAGGCTCGTGGACTCCTGCCCCCTGGGCCACTGCTTCTCTACCTCCTTTTCTACCTCTACCTGGAGTGGCCCAGGGCTCAGTCTTCTCTGTCTACACCCACGTCCTTCATGAGCTCATTTAGTCTCGCAGACCATGGGCATGCGAGCAATTATATTACATCAGATAAAATCCAGAAATCACTAGAACTATTTAGAATTGAGTAAGTCACTGAAAATAATGACAGATGAACAATTCATATAAATCAAAGTAACTGGGGAAAAAAAGCTTTTAAAAGAAAATCAGGGGTGCCTGGGTGGCTCAGTCAGTTGAGCATCCAACTTTGGTTCAGGTCATGGTCTTGTGATTCATGAGTTTGAGTCCCACATCAGGCTCTGTGCTGACGGCTCACAGCCTGGAGCCTGCTTCAGATTGTGTCTCCCTCTCTCTCTCTCTCTGCCCTCCCCTGCTCTCTCTCTCTCTCTCTTTCTCAAAAATAAGTAAACATTAAAAATTTTTTAAAGGTAAAAAATAAAAGAAAATCAGATCTCATCTTCAAAGGAAATAATATCTAGGATTATATTTAATATGAATGTGCTATAGTTATATAGTGAAAATGTCAAAGATTTTGTAGGCCATAGAGACTGAAATAGTCACTGGAGAAAAGAAAGACCACCCTACGTCCCTCTTTCCACATATCCACATTCTTCTGCAAGTCTGGTATCATCATGACACCTGCTAAGTGGGAACTCCTCCTAAACATTCCTGTCCCTCTACTGGGAGCTCATGGCTTCTCTCCTAGACATATAAGAACAACCCTTATGTTTCAGCTTCCTTCCTATCAGCAGGCCAAGCCTCCTCTGCAAATGACCAACACCAAGAATTCTTTAATTCTCCATATGGGTGTCTACACATGCAGATAAAGGTGTGGGTATTCATGAATTAAGAATAACCTGAGAATAGGGGTGCCTGGGTGGCTCAGTTGGTTGAGCATCCAACTCTTGATTTCAGCTCAGGTCATGATCACATGGCCATGGGATCGAGTCCCGAGTTGAGTTCCATACTGAGAATGGAGCCTGCTTAAGATTATCTCTCTCCCTCTCTCTCTACCCCTCCTTGACTCATGCTCTATTGCTTCCTCTCTCTCCTTTTCTCTCTCTCTCTCTCTCTCTCTCCCAAACAAAAAGAAGAAGAAGAACAACAACAACAACATGAACATAGAAAAGAAAAAGCCGTTTTCTCACAAATCCAGCTATTGGGGAGGCTGGGAGTTTAAGGGATTCTATGGACATGGAATCTCAGAGGAAGAGGTTTCAGGGAAGAAACAAACCAATCAGTACAGGGCATTGGTCAGAACACACAGTTTGTCCTGAGACCAATGGTTTGCAGCCGGGTTCCATTCCTTACTTCTTACCAAGACCAGAATTTCGCGAGTAGACACAGCTCAAATGTCTTTAGGGACAGTGACATGGTGATAGGACTGAAGGCATGGGGCTAGGCTGACCCAAGTGTGTTTGGAGAGCTGAAAATGGGGAGGCTCAGACCTAATCCAGTCCAATTACTTCAATGATGAATGTACATCGATGTTTTGTTAGAAATGCACCAGGTGGAGAATAATTGACACAGAATTATACCAAATAAAATGTTTAACTAATAATAATTACATTAACAATAAGATCTAAATGCCATGCATTGACACTCGGAGAATAACAAAAGCAATTCCTATTAACTCTGGGCCAGAAAACGATGGTCCTGGACTACTGCCCTCATTTTCCAGTCGCTGTTCTTGCAGCTCTGACTTCACAGTAAAAACAAAAAATCGTTTTTGTAAACTTGGCCATCAAATGAGTGTCTTTAGACTGAAAAAGCTTTCCCATTGCATTCTACTACAAAACAAGATGTAGGTTAAAAGGAAAATAACCGTGCTGCATCGCTGCTGTGTTGAAATTACTTCGAAACCTAAAGAACTCAGACCATTTGTTTAAACTTAGACTTCAACTTTGCATCATCTTCTTCCTCCCGCTACCCCTGCCATGGTCTCTGGGATTTGTTGAGTTTTCTCCCTTCTATCTGATTTGGCCAGTAGTTGCTAGGACTTCTTCTCTCTGTGCCTTGACAACTAGAGTCCCTGAGATACACGCGAGGTTGGAAGTTCTTTGTAAAGTACAAGTATCTTAGATAAAGCCTCACTGTCACCCATCAATTCTCTGAATGTATATAAAAAAAATTACAACCACAGTCACTTGGGGTGACAACATACCACATAAGACATGTCACGTTACATGTTTGGACACAGACCTATCAGGTTAGCACATTATCGTTGGCAAAGGGAGAGATGGAACTCATTATTCAAAGGCCGAATGAAAAATATTTCCTTCCTTGGTGCTGACACAGCCTAGCACACCCTTCTGCTTGCTGTCCTCCATCAAAACTGCCACCAGCCGACCAAGATCTGTGCCTTTCTTACCCTCCAGTATATGAATCTCCAGAAGTGATTCTGGAAACACAAACCCTTCTCTAACATTGCATAGCATCTGTCCACAGTAGGGGCCCCACTAGGAAAGTCATACATTTATTTGTCTCTCTCATTTTACCATAAAAAAGAAATAGAAATCTCTGAAAATTGTTGTTAGAGAAGAAAAATGAAGAAAGAAAAAATCGTTCTAAAAACGATTTCACTTTGTTTAAAAAAATAAGATTTTGAGATGTTCCCCAATCTAATAATGTGTTATGCTCCTGTAATACTGAAGTAATTTTGTTACTAAAGACGAATAAATGCTATAAAAGGTTATTAAAATTTGAAATAGTTGAAGTGAACAGAAAATAAATGACTCCATTATGGAATGAGAGCGTTGGAAAATATTCTCTTTAATTATATGATATACACAATTGTAATGTTTCAAACATTTTGATATTAAAACAGACATTAAATCATTTAAGAAAACACAAATAGGTTCTGTATCTCAGCAGTCTGATCTTATGCCAAAGAAGTGGTTTAAAAGTGGGGAGTGTGCCTCAATGCAATATATTTTAGGAAACAGATTGCTCAGGAAACAAATATTGAGGCCATAAAAAATAAGATGATGTCTGTTACCATGTAAAATGGTAAAAAGAAGTCTGATAGAGGATATCAAAGTATAACATCAGTGGCTGATTCTCTCTTGTGCAAGAAATACCCAAATTATACGACGTTTACCTTTCCCCTCATTTCAAGACCCTCTAATTGAAAATACTTGGATGTGGATGTCTCAAACACACGGAAGAGAATTCTCTTATCATTTTGTGATCATGATGGACGGCAGGTCTGTGGTTGCAAAAATTACTTTGGATGACAATCTGACTAAATCCTCATTGCCCCTGACTGTCTCACGGCTGATCATCTCTCTATATACCTGGCTGTTGTCACTGATGTAAGCTTTTTTATAATACAAACAGATATTTCATTTGCTACTATTTAACTAATATTTTATTGAACTGAGTATTGGCTTCACCGAATCGGTCCACTGTTCTGGTCAAAATGGTGATACCAAGTGGGAATGTGGTCGAAGCCACGGTAAAATTGGAAAGAGCTGGAGGGGGTCCAAGTACAAGTTTTTATTCCTTTTTTTTTTTTTTTTTTTTTTTTTTGCCCCAAGGAAGGCCTGAAGCAACCTGCCAAACTTCAGCTAACAGAAAAAGGATTTGGCCAGTGCTTCTGGATACAACTCAATTTCTCAGTCGCCTGGTCAAGACGACTCATAAAACATACAGCTTCTGTACCCAGCTTCAGCATTCAGAAGCTGCAGTACCAGATGGGGTTTTGTGACATGGGGTGATCCGAACAATAAATCTGAACCTTTTATTGTACATCATGTTCTTTGTATTTGCGGGGGGGGGGGGAGAAGTAATTTATGAAAATCCCATAGGGAAAATTCCAGCTCGGTATAGAAAACTGAGTAGGCTGGGGAGTGATTTTTGACTTGTAGTCTTTATTACAGTGGCGTTTTCTGAACTGGAATATATTTGTATTTCGAACAGAGGAGAGCAGTCCTCAGCGGTAAGGCATATCACTGGGAGCGCGCACGGTCCAAAGCAGAACGGTTTTCAAACTCACTTTCAAGTAATGCGGACATGATAGTTTTTTACCAAGACA